ATCATCTTTTAATATTGCTATTGTTTTTAGAGAGTAAGTTTGTTCATGCATAGAGTTATAATTTTTTCACTCTATTAATCCACGTCGTGTATCTGCTATTTAGTAAATTTGACCCTCTATGTCTGTATGTTTTGTTTAAGCTTTAAATGTTGATGATTAATATAGACTTTAAGGTAATTAAATTTGAAACATTATATGAATTGATTTATTTTTTTGTCTCATTACCCTATAAGTTCAGGTCTTCCAGCTGTTGGCCAATATAATTATCTAAGGATCCTAGCACATAAATCTCTTATTACATTCTTTATGTGGGTTTCATGAATATTGGTAAAATCTAAACCAGCTTAGCTTAATTACATGAATATTGGTAAAATCTAAATCATTGATTCACTTCATCATTTAACGGTCTATTTTTAAAATCTAAATCTGCTTTATGTAGGACTCTTAAGGTGTCAACCTTGCTCTGTCTGATACTACTTTGTAGCGCTCCTTATGGAAGTGCATAAAAATTTGGGCATGACCTGTCTGTAATAAGAAGGATTGACTTGTTTAATCTTTACGTGTGTTGTACCTTACAAGAGTAGTGTGTGTTTTTTTATGTATATATATATATATATATATATATATATATATATATATATATATATATATATATATATATATATATATATATATATATATATATATATATATATATATATATATATATATATATATATATATATATATATATATATATATATATATATATATATATATATATATATATATATATATATATATATATATATATATATATATATATATATATATATATATATATATATATATATATATATATATATATATATATATATATATATATATATATATATATATATATATATACACACACACTTTGAAGGGAGAAAATAAAACAGTGAAGATGTAATGCAATACTCAGGATCACAAGGTTGACAACAGAGTCCTTAGAATATCAGAATAGAAGAAAACTAAAGGAAACAATAACATATTACAATAATGATAATAGCCACAAATATTAGTACATGTTTGATAAGTCCAAAGTACTATAAAAGTGAATATAAATTAACTCCTACTAAGATTTTCCTCCGGAGCTAATCTTCAAATACAGAGTCTGTAATTCTCTTATCTTTGTCAATTGTATGACCTGCGAATGGATACAGAAACAACAACGATGAGCATAAGGCCCAATAGGTAACCAAAAAATCTCGGGTACAACATAAGAGGATGAATGAAAAGGATAGTCATAGATATTTGAACTTGAACGAAGGGATCTCAACATTAAGTTATCATACTTATATCATGATCATTGATCGAAATGAAATAACATGTCAATATGAATAATCAAGTTGAAATGCTACAATATAATTATTCAAAGGAATATCAATGGTATAAAACCAAAATAAACAGCACTAGAATAGCAATGGTTAAGCAATCAACGAAGAGCCCATGCATAAAGTGAATCAAATAGGAATATTACGAAAGTGATAAGATATACAACTTAGCATGGGAAACTAACTCGCAGGAATTTTAAGAAATAATCAATCGAATTCTCAAGGACTTGAGAAAAGACAATGAAATGTTACCTACTGATTATACCGGGATCCTCTTGACTAACGAATGAATCTAAGATTCTATGTCCTATATACACATACATGTATACCTACATGAGATTCTAAACACTATGTCTTTTATAATTTTTCTAACTTAAAACTTATAATATCATGGTATAAGCTACACTGTAGATGATTACATCCAATATCTATAATATGCACAGCAGCAAAACTAGTGTACATGCGATAGTTTGGGATGGATGAATGATAGAGCAATCGATATCCAAAATACATGAAACTAGTTCCATATGACTAATATGAGTCTGCTTTTGGAATATAAAAAAATTTACATCAATGCATGTATATAGTAAGAGTTATACTCTCAGCAAACTACACCTATCAAAACTGCAGCAGAAAAAATAGAGATTGCTATCTGGAATGAATAATTCATTTCAGGTACTTAACACTATACAAATGAGCTCATATTTGACATATAAGTAATATGATGGATTAACTTCCAAGTCCCATGAGTTTTATCAAACTTTCTTTTTTATAACGCATGTTACATGCAAAATAACACAAGGTGGGGCAAACTGGAATTGTCAGTGCATATGCTATCTATTAAAACTAGGTTTAGGCTTATCAAATATTATCCAAATTAATTCAAACTTGAGCCGACAAAAAGATGATTGAGTCTAGCTTTGGGAACAGAAAGAATTTCATGCATACATGGTATATATTGAGATTTATGCTCTCTATAATGAATATAACTCAGACAAACTATTTCAGACGCATGCATTACGTTTAACTATAGTTTTGAACTAGTAATTGATCTTAGAATTTTTTAAAAAAAAGGTCTCAAAAGAAAGCTACAGAAGTCTAGTTTCTGAAACAGGAAAAATATCCATATTTGGATATGTATAGAGAAAGTTATCTTATTTTTACTAGAAGAGTATCATGTTGGAATTTCTATATGAATAATTATGTTACATAAACCGACATGCAACCCATGTTTACACTAATTCAAAACAATATAATCATTACTTGATCACATTAGGTTTGAAAACCAGTAAATGTCATATTTTCTATACTCATAGATATAAAGATCATATTTTTATAACTACTCATTGACATGCAAGGGTCAATCCTTGCTTCAATGTAACATGCAATGGTAAATCCTCACATGCAAGATCAAAAACCAAATTAAATTCTATAATTTCAGTGTTATATCCCTAATAACATCATAAAGAAGAGAATTATAAGAAATTATACCTAGGTTTGAGACTTTTCTCCACTTCCTCCTCCAAAATCCTCAAACTACCTTCTTTCTCCTCTCCTTCTTGTTCTATCTCTAGAGCTTGAGAGATGAAGCTATAAAATCTATTTTTTTTTCTTTTTTCTTTTTAAATAAGAGGAGGGGATGGCTAGGGTTTGGTTGGCCAGAGGAGGGGAGGGAATGAGGTTTGGATTTTTTTTTTTTTGAAAATGGCAAAAAAGAGGTGGGAGTGTACTAGTATATAAAGGTCATGTGAAGACGAGTCTTCAAATTTGGCCAAAGTTGAGGTTTTTTATGTAAAATTCACCCACTAACATGGCTGATCATATTAAACAATTATGTTAATTAGAGAGTTTCAAAATAGGTATTTAATAATTGGGTTATCTCTAATCAAAGTTTAAAACATGGTTGATTTAGCTTTACATGCTAAGTTTGTATGCATGCTATGACTTAGTTAACTAGATCATAATATGAGAATTAGCTAAGTTCATGCTAAGTTTGTATGCATGCTATGACTTAGTTAACTAGATCATAATATGAGAATTAGCTAAGTTAAAATCCTCATACTAGAAATGCATGCTATGACTTAGTTAACTAGATCATAATATGAGAATTAGCTAAGTTAAAATCCTCATACTAGAAAATTATATGGATACAAGGAAGGAAAGAATTTACTGATTTATGGATCGGTATCGGTAACGGTATCCGATCATCGGAAGGAAAAATTTGCAATGTTACACTAGATATCAAGAATCAACACTTAATACTGATATCAAATGAAATTGAAAAGTTGAAAAATCAAAATTCTGAGGTAAAATAAATTTTTTGGGGATGTGCATACATGCATGGCAACATACATCTTTTTCTCTCCTTTAGATATCAAGAACTTGATATCACTAAGACATATCATGTGGAACCGATAAAAAAAATTGAAAGATCAAAATTCTGAAGTACAATAATCTTTTTGAGGGATGTGCACTGCAAATGGATAAAATAATTCAAGTCATAAGTCATGGGCCATTGATCTCGTCTAAAAATGCTGATGCTTAGTAGATAGGTTCATGGATCTTGTTTACTCTGCACTATGTCACAATTTTTATAACGCAAAGACATACATAGATTGTTTTTCTTTTCTCAGTACGTGTCAAGAATATTGATAAAGCTAAGCTACCATTAGTGACTCAAGTGGAACTAATAAAAATGGGTTTATTGTACTTCTAGGTTGCCCCATAACAGAATGGAATGAAAAAATAGGATTCATGTAGCCGACCCCAAACATTTGGGATAAAGGCTTGGTGGTGGTGGTGGTTATTGTTGTTGTTGTTGTTGTTGTTGTACTTCTAGGTTGCATAGGTACAGTATGCGTACTGGTATGGGTATGGACACGACAAATTTGTAATAGGGTATGGGGACACGACTATATGTATGCATGGTATGTATATTTATATATATTAAATTTAAAACGTACATAAGATCAATATTGTTTTTTAAATTTACATAAGATCAATATATAAGAAATAGATGTGAAGTGTAGAATATATATGCAAGAAGTGTATGAGGAGTGTTTTAAATTAAGATATGTATTATATAATTGAGTATAGGCTCGAATAAACATATGCATATATTCAAGAAGTGTCCAAGAGGTTTGGGTACATGTACGGGCATGGGCACATGTCCGGTACGGGTACGGCTTCCTAGTAGAAGTACCCAAGTAACATGGTTGTACATTAATGACCTAAGGTTTCGTCTATTTTTTAACTTTGATACCCTAAAGTTTAAATTTTCCCAAAAACTTCTGTTACATTATTGTTCAGAATTTTGTTTCAGCTGAAAATATTTGTTCAACAGGGGTTATTTTGCAATAGTTCATAAATGTAACTCATTTTTGCTTGGGAAAGTAAAGAAATGAATTGATGCTTTTAATTCCAATAAGTTTAAGTTTAAATAGTGAGGAGGAAGAAAGAGACTCATGGAGATTTCTTCTGATACCATGAAGTTTAAATTTTCCCAAAAAGTACCTTCTGTTACACCTTTGCTCAGGACTTTTTTGTCCGTGAATATTGTTCAACAAAGGATATTTTGCTACAGTTCAATTTCAAATATCTAATACTGCATTTGTCACTGTATATTTTGGACTATGTTGTGATCAGGAGGCTGTAGAACTTGAAAAGATTAAAAACAACCCAAAGTCTATTATGCCAGCAGCATTTGTTTCCTTTCGGACAAGATGGGGGGCAGCAGTTTGTGCTCAGACACAGCAAACAAGAAATCCAACTATATGGTTGACTGAGTGGGCTCCAGAGCCGCGTGATGTATATTGGAACAACCTGGCAATTCCTTTTGTCTCTCTCACAGTTAGAAGGTTGATTGCTGCTGTGGCATTCTTCTTTCTCACCTTCTTCTTCATGATACCTATATTGTTTGTACAATCACTTGCCAACATTGAGGGGATTGAGAAGGCTCTTCCATTTCTAAAGAAAGTAATTGAAATGTGAGTACACTGCATTTAATGAGGTTTCTTACTGTTTCTTCTCTTTATTTATTATTGTTAATGTTTTTATTAACTTGACACGATCTGTAGTTTCTGGTAGTTCTGTAACATTTTCTAGTTTTGGGGTATCTTCTATATTGAAGATTACTTTTCGAAGTTTTAATGCTTTACTGTTCTACGTTGTTCGATTTATAATTGTGATATCCTTCTGTGGTACCCATATCCATGCTGTACCCAATCATTCTAGTGAGCCCTACAAATTTGTAATCTGATCTCAGTAGTTGGAACGGTTTCCCATTTTACTTACTTGATTTGTTGTTTCAATTTGGAGAATCAGAACTTATTGCAGCACAACTTTATTTGCCAGATTGTTTCTCTTACGCTTTCTGCCACTCTGAGGTTTTGCAAGGATTTAGAGATTTATTTTCATATCTAAACTCCCTGATTGTTCCTCTTACGCTTTCTGCCACTCTGAAGTTTTGCAAGGATTTAGAGATTTATTTTCATATCTAAACTCCCTGATTGTTCCTCTTACGCTTTCTGCCACTCTGAAGTTTGCAAGGATTTAGAGATTTATTTTCATATCTAAACTCCCTGCCAGCTAAACCACAGCTTTTGTCCATTAGTCCTTTTCTTTATCTAGCATTTCCATGGTATACATAATTCATCTCAATGAGCCCTACAAATCTGTGACCTGATCTGACAATTTTAAGCAGTCTTCCATTTTACTTGGTTTATTGAATCAATTTGGAGAATAGGAACTTAATTGCAGCCCAATTTTATTGACGATGACTGAGGATGCATGACTTTATTGACGATGACTATGGAGAATGACTTTCTCGCATAGTAGAACAACCATCAAAATGTAATATGAAGCTTATGTCATTTTAATAAACTTTGAAATGTTCATGCAGTTATCTTGTAGATGTTGGTTGGTAAATTGCTCCCTGCCCGTTATTTGCTTCTCAAGTTCATCAAGTAATCCCAAACATTGTAATTGACATGTAATGTCTTAATGGTTTTCTTAATGGCATTTAGTCTGTATAAATTGCTTTCCCTTTTTCTGCACCATGAAACTATAAATAATAAACCTCAGAGTATCATTATGTAGAACTATGTGCAGGTGGTCTAGAAGTATGTCCGCATGTTACTGTTGATATCTACAACATATTGATATCGTCTTATATGTGTATGTATGCAGATATAATATTTAGTTAATCAGTATCATTTGTCTTGATATTAAGTATCATTTAATTTTAATAGCATTTATATGATTGTCATGCAGGCATGTCATCAAGTCATTCATCCAAGGTTTTCTTCCGGGGATCGCTTTGAAGATTTTTCTTATCTTACTGCCGACAATATTAATGCTCATGTCGAAGTTTGAGGGATATATCTCCTTATCAGCTCTTGAGAGAAGAGCTGCTGGGAAATATTACATTTTCTTATTAGTTAATGTATTCCTGGGTAGCGTAATAACTGGAGCTGCATTCGAACAACTAAATACCTTTATTCATCAATCAGCAAATCAGTATGCTCTTGCACCTTTTCATTTCAAAAGTTTACTACCCATGAAATTTGTTTATGTAATTACTTTAATCTGGACTGATGCGCAGTAGTGTTGTTTTAGTTGTTTCTCTCATATGTGAAGTTTCCCTCATGTTTGATAAATATAGTGCATATAGTTTGCACCCAATACTTATATTCTGTTAGAATACCTGAAGAATTTATTAAGCTTTTACAGTGCTTTTGTAAGGACGACACTATATTAGAATATTAGGAGACAATAAATAGATGGGTTTTTTAGATATTAGTCCCTTAGGTCTTCAATAATTGCATATTCGTCCCTTAAATCATGAAAACTGCATATTAGTCCCTCAAAGCCTATTGGGTCTTGTAACATGGTCCTTCAAATTAGATCGTGTTAGATTTAAGGGAAAAATTCTGTCAAATCTAACAGTTGAAGGCAAAGTGCACGTTACCCCTCTATTATGTTTCCAGTCCATTTTTAATGGGTTTAAACCCAATTCCCACTTAAAAAACCCAAATTCACTTGAGTTCTTCTCCTCCAATCGCTAGAAAAGAACCCTAACCTAATGTTTAGCTTTACAAAGGTTTGAAACATCAGAGAGAGGGGTAGTTTGGTAACTATAGGGGGTGTTTTAAGAGTTAAACCTAGCCATAATTAGGTTTTTTTCACTGAAATTCTAACAAAGGGACCATTTTGCAAGACCCTATAGGATTTGAGGGATGTGCAGTTATTGAGATTTAAGGGAATATCCAAAACACCTATACAGAGAGAGAGAGAGAGAGAGGCGCAGACGCGCACACGCACACACATGCAAGCACACACATCATTTTTTGTAACCTTGTTGGACACACATAATTTCTTGTACGCATGCCTCTGTGTCTAAAAGTTTTTGAACACAATTATTGCCTGGCTTCTTCTGCTTAATTCAATTATTGACCGCTGTCTGGTAGAAAATTCCATCTTTAGTTGACTGTCAGTTAAGTTAGCCACGTCTTGTTTGTTCAAAAGATTGCCTTTATTTCCTGATAATATTATGGTTGCACCATGGATACTGAGTCCTCCCTAAGGGAGAGACAAAGGGTGTATGGACGCATGAGTCTTCCTAAGGAGTGCCCTCTGGCTGCTTGATAATCATCAATAATGGTAACTAACTACCTTTTAATCGCTCTTTTGTATCCATTCGAAATGGGAATTATTGTTTTTGGAAAATGTCGCTGATGTACTTTGCACCTCTAGCCCTTGCTAGAAACATCATGATTTCAATAATCGAAGCGTAAAATGCTGAAATATACCTGTCTTGACAAGCTCAACTGAAACTACCTACAAAATTTCATAACCATAAGATTAGCACGTCAAGAATCTGCAACTTGCTCATTTGTACCTTAATGATGACAAGTTTGATATAACAGCTTTTTGCTTAGGTTTGAATATCAGAGTCCACAGCCAGCTAATGGTCTTTCAAACTTCCCCTGTTGAGTCTTAAAAAATCCTCTCTTTTGCATCATATTTTTTGTTCCTTAGTATTTGTGATTTCTGAAGGTTTCTGTGTTTGCATCGTTGTTAGTTCTGGTTACTGGAAGTCAACAGAGTGAAGTGCTAGTTCTATTATTGGCCGTTTTAAAAATGCCTTTTAAACATGTGAATAGATGATTTGGTGTTTATCCTCATCTCTTTATTAGGAACCGCCCTGATAAGCCACTTAAAACTTTCCTAGATCTTTGTCCCTGTCATGTGATGAATGTCCGGCAATGTGTCTTCCAACTTTACATGTTTCTGCTGATTCTTATAAGCTAGAAATTGAATCAACTACTTATCAGTTTTGTGCTTTTCACAGAATACCAATAACAATAGGTTCTGCAATTCCTATGAAAGCAACTTTCTTCATAACCTATATCATGGTTGATGGTTGGGCTGGAGTTGCTGGGGAGATTTTAAGGTTGAAGCCTTTGATAATCTATCACTTGAAGAATTTTTTCTTGGTAAAGACTGAAAACGATAGAGAAGAGGCAATGGATCCAGGAAGCATTGGGTTTGACTCAAATGAACCTCAAATACAACTTTATTTCCTACTGGGTCTTGTCTATGCTGCAGTCACACCTTTCTTACTTCCTTTCATTGTAGTATTCTTTGGCTTGGCATATGTTGTTTATCGCCATCAGGTAACTTTTCTTAGCATTACTTGTAACTAATTATGTTAATACTTCAGTCTCTACTCATGATGTTACGCCCCAAGCTTGCGGGCCCATTGGCGCGTACAAGCCGTGGGACTTACCGGGTGTAACGCGTTATTTGGATCAACCCACTGCCAAAATCGACTAGTTGGTGTTACACTTGAGTCTTGGGCTTACCTATTTAAGCCACACAATTTCATTGTAAATTCCTGATATGGGACTAAAGGTGGGGTCTCACAATCACCCCAACTTACAAAGGCGACTTCCTTGTCGCGACACGACAATTGGCATATCCTAGTATCGCCAAGAGACGTGGACTCTAGAGATGGCTCCTTCAGGCTGGCAACTGTTCTGATACCATTTGTCATGCCGCAGGCCCGTTGGAGCGTGCAAGCCGTGGGACCGACCGAGTGTAACGCGTTATTTGGCTCAATCCACTCCAAAAATCGACTAGCTGATGTTACATTTGAGTCTTAGGCTTACCTATTTAAGCCACACAATTTCACTGTAATTTCCCAACGTGGGACTAAAGTTTGGGTCTCACGCATGAGGCTTGGTTGCAAGTCTTAAAGGATTACTTCACTGAATGTGTATTAGGACTCTGGCTATAACCTTGTGACTAATATCTCTTGTTTTCATTTCCCATCATGATTAGATCATAAATGTCTACAATCAAGAATATGAGAGTGGAGCAGCATTTTGGCCAGCCGTCCATGGTCGGATTATCACTGCATTAATTATCGCACAGCTGCTTCTGTTCGGGTTGATAAGTACAAAAGCAGCTGCTCAGTCAACACCTTTCCTCGTGGTCTTAATTGCTCTTCCAGTGTTTACATTCTACTTTCATAGGTTCTGCAAAAACCGATATGAGCCTGCTTTCGTGAGATACCCGTTACAGGTAAGTTTGAAGCAAAGTGTTTTTTATGGGTATTACCTATATAATATTTTAATAGTTTTATAACTCTTTTGGCCTTTGTTAAATATCCTGTTCTGCCATATTGTGTATGGTGCCAGGCTTAAGGGAAGCAGAGTTTTCTTCTGAGCTTGATAGTTACCTGCCTAAATTGATTTGTCAGCTTTCTATAGAAAGATTGCAACCATTCATCTCTGCTTCTGAAGATATTTGTAACTTTGATGATTTATGGCCTCTCTGGTTCTCCTTAGGGCGCTTAATGTGATGTCACTAACCTACTTTTTTAGAAATCATATGAGGATAATTAACACGTTGGAAAATGAAACAGGAGCACTATAACATCTGAAACTAAATGTTGTGTTCTTTTGCCAATAACAAAGGGAACTATAGTACTAGGAAATACAAGGTAAATGTATCAAAATGTTATAAAAGGAATCATCTCAAGATAAATCTACAAAATACTCTTCTTTAAATTGTGATGCACTTGAAGTAGTTCATAAATAACTACTTTGACATATACTATCCACTTTAAAGCCCATTGTTTTCCATTCATTTTTGTGCTTCCATGTTCCGTGATCCGATGGTATCTGCAAAAATCTATGATCGGGAATTTTTACTCATTACACTTCACTATGAAGAAGATTCCCTTTCTTTAGCTGTCCTTTTGCACCTTTGACGTCCATAGATAAAAATGAGAATTAGATAATCTCTTGAAGTGTATTTTTTAAATAACTTCACGCATACATACAAGAGAAAAATGCCCATGTGATCCCATGCTAGACTTTGTAATATCACATACTATCTCCAAAATGTTGTCTTTTTGCACCTTTGACATCCCTGTAACATAAGAATTAGAGATATCTGGAAGTTTTTTTCCTTAAATATCTTCTCACATAGACATCATCATCATCAAAGCCTTTATATCAAATGTTTGGGGTTCTTTCATTTTATTCTATTATGGGATATATCCTCTGTTAAGTTAATCATAATCATGTCCTTCTTAATTGCTTCTAACCATGTTCTTTTAGGTTTACATCTAGATCTCTTAACCCCATTAACCATAGTACTATCACTTTCTTAACCAATGCACTAAGAGGTATCCGTTATACGTGACCAAAGCATCTTCGTCGACTTTCTTTCATTTTATCATCAATAAAAGCAACATCTAAATTACTATGGATGCACTCATTTCTTATCCTATCTTTTAGTGTATACCCATAAGACGATCGCAACATTCTCATTTTTGCTACACATTTTTCGTACATTTTAATTTTTAATTGTCCAACACTCTGACCCATAAAGCATTGTTGGTCTTATAACTATCCTATAGAATTTATCCTTTAGATTCATTGGTATTCTACGATATCACATAAGATTCTCGAAGCACTCCTCCATTTCAATCATCCTGATTTAATTCGATGGACAACATTATCCTCAATCTCACCATCATGTCGAATGATTGATCCTAAATAGCGAAAATGATACTTTTAGATTTTTTTTTATCATCAATATGTACTATAGGCTCTTTCCTTTTCTTAATTTTACAAAAAAAGCACTTAATGTGTTATATTTTTGTTCTACTAATTTTAAGATCTTTAGATTCAAGAGATTGTCTCCCCATTTTTACTTAAGAATTTATACCTCTTCTAGTTTCATCAACTAACACTATATCATACGTAAATAACATACACCATATGATTTTCATGTTGAATGTGCCTAGTAAGTTGGTCAATAACTAATGCAAAATGATAAGTAATTAAGGCTGACTCGTGATGTAAACTTGTGGTAATTTGAAACGGCTTAGTCTATCCTTCATTAGTTCTTACTCTAGTTATTACTCTATCATACATATTTTAATCACATCAACATGTTTCTTTTCTAAAATTCACCACATTACCTCTCTAGCACTCTATCATAAGCTTTTTCTAGATCTATAAAAATCATATTTATATCATTTCTTTTCTCTCTATATCTTCTCACAGACACATATCAGAAAAATGGCCTTGTTATGATGTTCAAATGTGTATGTTACGTTTTGTACTATCTTCTCACAATGACACATATCAGAAAAGTGCCCTTGTTATGATGTTCATATAGACATGTCTCCAATGCTCACAATCTCATATTTTCTTCTTTTGACTGTTAAATTACAGGAAGCGATGATGAGGGATACTCTTGAACAAGCCAGAGAGCCAACTCTTGACTTGAAAGGTTACCTCTCAAACGCATATATCCACCCTGTGTTCAAGGCCTTAGGTGGTGAGGACAAACTTTCGATTGATGATGAGAAAGATTTTGATAGTGCACTGGTACCTACCAAAAGACAATCTCGGAGGAACACACCAGCAGCTAGTAAATATACTGGTTCTTCATCGCCCTCCTTGCCTGATGCTATTCAAGAACAGCAACTTTTGTAAATGAAGAGCTCTCTAGTCTATACATTATAGAGATGTACATCATAAAGATGTATTTCTTATGTAAATTTGTAGTTCTAATAGAAGTCAAGATTGCTGCAATAGATGGCTTATGCTAACTCATGAATTACTTTGGTTTACCTGGTGGATGAATAGAGGTATTGTGTTTTTTATAATGTCCTATCATTCAATGCTCCATTTGAAAGCTTTACAAGGTTGTTCGACTTCGAAAGGCATTTGCAGATTGAAATGAAGAGTTTGAGAGTGTTCTTATTCTTGTTTCAGGGAACAACAATTTTGTTTTCCATTTGCCCACTATAGGAAATGGATTGCTTCAGCTAGCACGCTATCCTTATGACAGATTTTGTATTGATTTTGCACTCAGTCTTGTGGACTATGTATTCTTTGCCGCTGTGGCTTATGTAAGATCTTCATGATAAACAACTTTACAGAGTCTAAGTTAATACAGAATATCCAGGATTAGTGGTTGCAGTGTAGTAAAGAACTGCTGTAAAATTATGTCATCGACGTGTTAATTTGAAGCACCTTGTAAAAATGTATGTCCTCCAAACTAGGACACTGCGTATTATCATATACATAATATTGTGATTATTATGTATTATTTGTCGCTGTGGCTTATGTAAGATCTTCATGATAAACAACTTTACAGAGTCTGAGTTAATACAGAATATCCAGGATTAGTGGTTGCAGTGTAGTAAAGAACTGCTGTAAAATTATGTCATCGACGTGTTAATTTGAAGCACCTTGTAAAAATATATGTCCTCCAGATTAGGACACTGCGTATTATCATATGCATAATATTGTGATTATTATGTATTAAATTGTTGTTCAGAGCAGAGATTGGTAGTGTGTACTCCTAATAAAAAGCCTCATTTCGGCATTTTGCACTTTGTCGGTTATCTAGGGACCACTGCTGTGCTTCCATGTGATTAACGAGGACAACTTTTGCGCTCTTATTTAAAGAAAATTTGGGTTCCCATGGCAGCAATTGTTATTAACTTTCCTTAATTAGAGCTCTCATTGTTGAGTTTAAATCTAATATATGGGCCAATATATTAAATAGATATGTATTATGTGCCATCAAACAAGGTTGGGAAAATTTGCAAAATAATCCGTTTTTGCTAATTATTTAGCAAAATAGACCGCTTTGCTAAATAATTAGCAAAATAGGCCTCTTTTTGGCCTGTTGGCCAAAAAGAGGTCTATTTTGCAAAACAGCTCAGAAAACATATGGGACTAGTAGTCATGTATGTTTTAATCACGGATTAGTAAACTCAGAAAATTTCACAAAATATTAAGATGAACTCAGAAAACATACGGGACTACTACTCCCATATGTTTTCTGAGTCACTAATCCGTGATTAAGTTGGCTCTAAACATACGGGACTAGTAGTCCCGTATGTTTTCTGAGTCTTGTTTTTCAAAATCGACCTTTTTTTCTTCAAAAGAGGTCTATTTTGCTAATTATTTAGCAAAACGGTCTATTTTGCTAAATAATTAGCAAAAACGGACTATTTTGCAAATTTTCCCATCAAGGTTAGTTCATTAAAGTGATCCGATTAGAGTTTGAGCTTTTAATGCATAATTAAAGTATGAGTTTCCTATGTGTATAGATCAAAATATAATTGTTAATTCTATGATGAGCTAAATTGATAATTATAAATAATTGATAACAGTTATAAATAGGGTTATGGTTCCCCAAATCTCTATGTAGAATCTCTTTCTAATTTCTCATCTTCAGAAGGATTAGGATTTCTCTAAGGAGGATATATACATAGAAGATTTGGAAGATCTACATCTCAAAACTCAAGAATCACATCCTACTCTATGGATTCTGGTATGGTTCCACATCTTCTTAATTATTTCTATAGTTTGACATGAACAATCTTGGGATTGATTAGACTTTTATCTATTAAAGCAAAAGTTTTTATGTGATCTAACAATAGGTATCAGAGCGGTGTTCATGTTAATCTATTGAGAATCAATTTTAATTAGTTCTCCCTCTTATATATTCTTCATAATTTAGGATTCAAAAGGGTTGTTATATTTTGAATTGTATGAATTTGATTTAGAAGAATTTATGTTTAATTAACAAAAAGGGTTTTCAATACAGTATTTTTCTACAGTACCCCTGCAGTTTCGGCGAACAAGGCTTTATTTTTACTACAGTAACAATTACTACAATAAAAATGCTGCAGCTACCCTTGTACTACAGTATTTTCAGTTTGAACAAATTTTCGATTTAAACTCATTTAATTTTTTTATTAAAAAATTCGACCCAATCCACTTTTTATTATCAAAACCGACCCATTTCGTGCCACGTCAGCAGCGTGACCACGAAATGGGTCGGTTTTTTTTTAAATGACGCCGCTAAATAGTCGGGGTTGGCAACCCCGACTATTTAGTTATGTCGGGGTTGGCAACCCCGACTATTTAGCTAAGGGCACGCTAAAATAGCCGGGGTTTCCAACCCCGACTAATTTAGGCCCCTGCCTAATTGGTCGGGGTTGGCAACCCCGACCATTTGGCAGAGAGGTAGGTGCTGTTCACTTCACTACGACAAAACGGTCGGGTTTGGGAACCCCGATCATTTTGTGTTCGTGCACAAAATGGTCGGGGTTCCCAACCCCGACCATTTGGCAGACTCTTCCAGCTGAAAATAGCTGGAAATACGAACTCCGCTGGAAATTCAAACTCCTGCTGTTACATATCAATCCACAATTCAATCACAATCACAATAACACACATACCAATCAATAATCTCAAATAAAAAACCATAATCAATCGGATACATACCATGCAATTCACATACTAATAATCAATACTCAATCTAATACATAATATTTAGTTTTAAACGCAAACATCCTATCAATACTCAATCAAATACATAATATTCAGTTTCAAATACATAGATGGTGAAAGATACATCTATGTGGGTGATGGCAAGAAGGTTGAAGTTAAGGCAATTGGGACATTTAGGTTATTGTTAAAGTTCGATTGTTATTTGGATTTGAAAGAGACTTATGTAGTACCGTCATTTAGACGAAATTTAATATCTATTCCTATATTGGATAAATTTGATTACTTTTGTTCTTTTGAAAATGGTAAATTTAGTCTTTTTCAAAATTCAAATTTGGTTGGTACCAGTTCGTTATTTTATGCTGATAACCTTTATTTGCTTGATACGGTTGCTTCATATCATGAAACCTTGCAATTAAGCACTTGAGGTGTAAAGAGAAAATTGACCCATGAGAATTCCGCTTCGTTATGGCACAAGTGATTAGGTCACATCTCCAAAAGGAGAATTGAGAGACTTGTGTCAGACGAGATTCTAGACCCCCTTGATTTTACAAAATTTGAAGTTTGTACTAATTGTATAAAGGGGAAACAAACAAACATAAGCAGATTTGGTGCCAACAGGGCTACAGACGTCTTAGAACTAATACATACAGATATTTGTGGATCATTCGCTATAGTTTTTTGGAATGATCAATAATATTTTATCACGTTCATAGACGATTTTTCGCGTTATGGCTACCTTTATCTCATACATAAAAAGTCTCAATCACTTGGCATGTTCAAAGCTTACAAAGCTGAAGTTGAGAACCAACTCAATAAAAATATCAAAAGCATCAAACTGACCGTGGTGATGAGTATTACGGTAGGTATGACGGTTCAGGTGAACAATGTCCGGGATCATTTGCTAAAATCCTAAATGAGTATGGTATCGTTCCACAATACACCATGCCTGGTTCTCCTACCATGAATGGTGTTGCCGAAAGACAAAACAGAACAATTAAGGACATGGTAAGAAGTATTATTAGTTGTTCCAACTTACCAGAATCTCTCTGGAGAAAATCATTAAAGACTACAGCTTACATACTCAATAAAGTACCCACAAAAGCAACTGCCAAAACCCCTTATGAACTTTGCATTGACAAAATCCTAGTCTAAAGCATTTGCATATTTAGGGATGTCCCGCTGAGTCTAGGCCTTATATGCCACGTGAAAAGAAACTGGACTCTAAGACGATCAACTGCTACTTTGTTGGTTACTCTGAGAGATCTAGGGGTTACAAATTTTATGATCCTACTTCCAAGTCAATATTTAAGACGGGAAACGCCTGATTCTTTGAGGATGTTGAGTTTGCAGGGGGAGATAAGGTTAAGGACTTTGTATTGAAGAGGAATATGTTAATATTCCTATAGCTTCTATTAACATTGATCAAACTTCTATTCCTGACAGTGTTCAAGAAATAGATCTAAATCAAGATAATGTTATAGAACCTCCAATTCCAAAAATTGTTTCAGAAGAACAAACTCTACCACCTCAAGAACATATGTCATTAAGAAGATCTACTAGAGAAAGGAGAAGTGCAATTCCAAATGATTACATTATATTTCTCCAAGAACATGAGAAAAACATTGGCATGATGGAAGATGATCCAATTAACTTCTGTCAAGCCATGTAAAGTTCTAAATCTCAACAATGGATTAATGCCATGAATGAGGAAATAAAGTCTATGAAGGACAATAACCTTTGGAATCTTGTCTCGTTGCTTGAAGGTGCAAAGCCTATTAGTTGTAAATAGATATTTAAAACTAAGAGGGACTCGAAAGGCAATATGGAGAGGTACAATGCTCGTCTTGTCGCTAAAGGCTTTACACAGAAAGAAGGCATTGACTATAAAGAAACTTTCTCTCCGGTTTCATCGAAAAATTCTTTCAAGACAATAATGGCACTTGTGGCACATTTTGACCTTGAACTACATCAGATGTATATAAAGACCGGGTTTCTTAATAGCGACATTGATGAAATAATTTTATGTAGTGCAGCAAGAAAACTTTGTGTCGGGAGATGCAAAGAAGATGGTTTGCAAATTGAAGAAATCCATCTATGGGCTTATGCAAGCTTCTCGTCAGTGGTATTATAAGTTTTATCAAATTATCATCTCATTTGGTTTTGAGATGAATATAGTCGATTATTGTGTATACCACAAGTTCAGTGGGAGTAAACATATTTTTCTGATTTTATATGTCGATGACATAGTGCTTGCCAACAATGATATAGGCTTATTGTACGAAACCAAGAGATTTCTCTCAAAAAAGTTTGAGATGAAAGATCTCGGTGATGCCTCTTTTGTATTGAGCATACAGATATATCGGGATCGCTCTGGGGATATACTTGGGTTATCATAAAAGATCTATATCGAGAACATTCTTAAAAGGTTTGGCATGCAAAATTATAAAC